ATGACCATTATATTGTACTGCTGGGACCAGCGACTGGGCAGCACAACACTTTCTGCAGACTCAATACACCCAAATAGGTCAATCACCACCTATAACCTATAACTACCAGCAACCTTAAGGGTCAGAACACAGAAAAATTGTGTTACAGATTCTTGTGAATGCTGAAAATATGAGGTTTCAGGTGGCATAGCCATGCCAGGACCCTTGGAGGACCTTGCGTGCCGACTATCTTCCTGAATACTTATGGTACACATAGTGGTTTTTTTAGCATGTATAATGTCTTCCAGCCCAGACAGGTAACACAATCATGCAAGGCTCTCTAGTGTGTGGGACTCTAGGTGGAGCTTGATTGCTGGGCCATGGCAGTGGCACCTGTTAGCCCTCCCTCTTCCTTTTTTAATGGAATGGCAGTGGCTGATGCTTCTGGCGCTACAGCTCCAAATCCCTGCAGGCCACCATGTAATATCTAACCTAAGCTATGGGAACAGGCAGAGAAGATTTAGCAAAGGCAGGGATGAGGGATAGATTCCCCCAGTCATTTTACAATCAAAAGAACATGCAATTTGCTGGTTATCCTTATTATTTTAGAGGGGGAAAAGCCTAAAAATAAAATGAAAGTATGGGTCTTTCTAGCCACCACTGCTTTCCCTCCATTCACAATTGTCACACCTCTAGATCTCCAGAGTTATTCTAGTTCACATCACAGCAGACAAAGTTACTCATGTGTGCAGTTTGAACAGTGGAGACTCCGAACCCAGACTTCGAAACCAGAAGAGGATCAAGTGAGGATGGAAGTGCCAGCGATGGAGGGGAGGGTGGGCATCACAGTGCTGTCTTGATAAGTGTGCCATAAGGTGCAAATGTACTGTGCATACTTGCAGGTTATGGTAAAAACCTCATGTGGGCCTAAAATTGTTAGTCTGGTGGTGTACTTCCATTTTAACAGTTGTCACCAGAACAGTTTGTGACAATTGTCTAAAGCAGCGGCGCCCACAATTTTTCATCTGGAGATTTACTTTTCAAATGACGAGCTCATTGAGATCTACCAATGAAAAAACACCTGCATTCAGGGGCGGGAGGGGGCATGGCGGTGCATTGAAGTCAATGGCACCGCAGCCAGGCTCCGCAGGCAGACAGAGAGGTGTCCTGCCCCTTTCCATCTGCAATGTCTGACACATTCAGCCGCACAAGCACCGCGGGAGCATAACCGTAGCCAGCTCCTTTTGCGTCTGAGGCAAGAAAAAAAGAAAAAAATTTCTTTATATTTTACTATTTTTTATTTTATTTTCATTATTTCTTATTTCAATATTTTAAATTTAAATTTATTTTTACAGTTTCTGAATGGGGAGGAGCCTCTGTACAGAGTGCTACTCCCCATTGAGAAACTCATTCATTACTGGGGACACGTTGTACTATGTGTCCCCAGTTACGGTATTTACAAACACTGGAGTGATCAGCTGATCACTCCAGTGTTTGTCCTGCACAGAGGACCGGTACATATCACTGATATGTACCGATCCTCTGCCGCTTGGCCACGCAGATGGGGCTCAGCTTCTTCTCTGGATCCCCCCTGTTCTCCCGGGCAGAGGCAGCGGGGGATCCGACGAAAAGTGAAAGAGCACTTCAGCCGCTGTCACAGAACTAAGGCCGAGCGGTGAGGGGAGAGAGAGGCGCCGGCTGTCAGATCCAGGCCGAGTGTCTCTCTGTCTCTCCTCATCGTTGGCTGCAGCGGTTCCTTCACTTCTCCTCGGATCCCCGCTGCATACAGATGGGGAGAGCAGCGGGGATCCAGAGAAGCCACCGTGACAGAAGGAGAGGGCATTGAGATCTACCAGTGATCGCTACATGATCGACTGGTAGATCGCGATCGACCTTGTGGGCACACCTGGTCTAAGGCCTCATTCACACTAGAAACGGCTGGCACGTACAGCTCCGTGCTGCGTGCACGGCCGTATTGGGCAGCTCCCGGGAAGGACAGGTGCTGCGTGTGACTAATACGCAGCCCCTGTCCTTCTCTATGGGAATACGCGGCCGTACGCCGCCCTACGCTCACCTCAAGTGCACGTCCGTACGCACAGGGCCGGCCTTAGGCCTTTAGGCGCCCTGTGCGAGGAAGCTTTACAAACCCCTAAGGCCGGCCCTGTGTACGGGTGCGGGTGTCCCAGCTCGGACGCAGACAGGATCCATCCTGTCAGCGTATGAGTACGGACACCCACACGGACTTGTAGGACAAGTGAGCGTAGGGTGGCGTACAGCCGCTTATTCCCATAGAGAAGGACAGGGGCTGCGTACTAATCACACGCAGCACCTGTCCTTTCCAGGAGTGGCCCAATATGGTCGTGCACGCAGCACGGAGCTGTACATGCCGGCCGTTTCTAGTGTGAATGAGGCCTAAGAAGGAAATTCCCCACACATTGTAGAGATTACCTCTTATTTCATGTTATGTCTTTGGGATAAAAAGGGAAATCACCCCAACAAGACACAGACAGAAAAAAATAAGCTGAAAAAAAAGTATTTTAGTCCTTCTCTACTCTATCCAACACCCAAAAAATTATTTGGCTGTACATATGCCTTAAGGGACCATCAGAAGAGTCAACTGAAGCCAACATAGAGCAGAGAGTACCTTGGAATGCTCTTCAACACATTACAGGTCACAATTTGTCTTCTACCCCAAAAAGCTGCAAAAGTGCTGGCCAGGTCCAAGTCAATAATGCACTTATCAGCCTATTCTGCCAGGAATGCATGAGCTTCATTGGTCTGGTGTCATCCACCTTCCCTGCAGTTTCATGTGTGCATTGGCATTTCAGACAGATGCAATACTGTTTTCTTCAGCAGTAGGAATTCTGCTCATCATCTTTCTTACCTGAGCCATTACAGCACGCTTGGAGTGGTGTACTATACTTGTAAATCTTAACTAGGGCAGCCTGTTCAGACTATCATCAGTGCCTTCCGGCCCGATTGTGGCCGAAACGCACTGGATCACATTTTGGCCGGCTCACTACGTTGTGGGGCGCGTGGGGGCGCAATGCGATCGGCTGCACGGGAACGCAAGGCACATCAATGCCTGCGGTCCGGTTGTCCGAAAAAATGCTGCAAGAACTATCTTTTTGGACGGGACCGCAGGCATTCATGTGCCTTGCGTTCCCATGCAGCTGATTGCATTGTGGCCAGAGGACGTGGTGACGGTGCCATTCACTTGAATGGACCACCATGCCCCCTCCCGCCCCACAACAAACTGAGGCGGCCGCTATGCGATCCAGTGCGTTCCAGCCACAATCGGGCCGGAACGCACTGAGGATAGTGTGAACGAGGCCTAAGCCTATTACCTTGGCAAGCTGCCCCTGAAGCATAGGTAAAAAGGTATTTAATGCTTTGAGTTTCAGAAAATTGTAATGACTCAGCACAGGAACCTAAACAATGCACCCTCCAGGCCTGGAGACTGCCATTTATAATAAGACTAATCCGGATCACAGGGCCTGCCCCAGTTAAGATTTACAAGTATAGAAACTTACAAAATCTGCAGGGGATCAAATCATTATTTTCCACACTGTATGTCTTATTTACCAGGGTAGGGTACCACGGTGAAGAGTTTGGAGAGGGCAGGAGAAGTGAACAATCTAGGACAGTGGTGGCGGACCTATGGCACGTGTGCATTTGATGCGCGATATCGCGAGAAGTTGCCTGCCAATGTTATTCAATGGAGCTGTTCTAATGTACAGCTCTATGTCGCACGTCGCTTCAGCAGGACCCTTTTTCCCGCGGATGTCGCACGATTTTTGAATTCAGCCCGACGGTGAAGGTCGCTGGAGCGCCCCGAACACTCGCGCTACCCCGGCTCCGTTTGTAAGGTATGTTGCATGGTGTGAATAGGGCCTAAGGCAGTGATGTTGAACATTTCTTAAACCCGAGCGCCCGAACTGCAATACAGTACTAAACTTTTCAGCGCTGGCACTTTGAGGTAAATAAATTGATTTTGCGTCGCAGTTTGGGCACTCGGGTTCAAAAAGCTTCGCCATCACTGATCTAGGACAACATAGCTGATTTGGAAAAATTCTCCAATTCATCTCTTTCCACTTGAGGTATTTTGTCCTAGATTGTTCACTTATCCTGCATTCTCCAAAACTCTTCACCCTTTTGTGAATAACGTATTGTACCTACATTGGCCAACCTATTTCTTTCATGTAATTGTTTGTGTTTCCATTTTCTTTAAAAAAAAACACATCAATTAAAAGATTCAACCTTAAAATTAAAGTGTCACTCCTTCTTAGGGCAGAGCGGCTACACTGAAAAAAATTAGGTTTAATAAATCAAACATATGACACCTCAAAGTAGATATATTTGGACAAAAACAACAAAATATTGGAGGCTCGCGCTACACATTTAGGGCCTGTAGTGTTGCATAAACATACCTAATCCATGTGATTGGCGCACACTATCGCATGGTTCTATGCTAGGTGAGCTGCTGTGTTGCCATCCATTCTCAATGGCACCCCAACCACCCCCCGCGCCTCCCAGCAGACATGCACTGTTGCACCGCACATTGCACAGTATTGCAATAAGGTGTGTTGAGTTGCCATGAAAAAAAGTAATGCATGCACCACTTTTTATTAACGCAATGCACATGATAGTAGTACCACATGTTACATGATGCTGCAACGCATGCATGCTGGAAACCGCATTGGGGTGCTATTGAGTATGAATGGAAATGCAGTGTACCAGTGCACTCAGCATACAGTATAAGTCCAGTAGGTGACAGCTTCAACTAAATGCAGGGGTGAATGGACCCTTCAACGTGCACACTAAATATCGCCTGACAAACACTGCCTTCCATAGAATGGGAAATCGGATGGTCACCAACATGGAGAAGCCCCGCTCTCAGTAACACCATTTCATTCATTCTTCTCTTCTTGCACTACTCACAACACAACACCCCACGTGTCTGCATGGCCTAGCATGTGTCAGAAGAAGCCCCGCCCCGTCCAGGAGGCACGCCTCGTTGCGCGCTTGTCCCGCCCCTCACTGCTCACGCTGGTTTTCGGGGCTCGTCCACCATGGACCTGCAGCTGCTGGAGCATCGTGTTCGGGTCACCAGCATTGACAAGTCCGGCCTCTGGTTCTATACTCACCCGCTCGTCAAGTTACTCTTCCTGCGGCACCGGACAAGGTAAGAGCTCCGGGGTATGTTCTGGCCGGGTAGTACGGAGTAGACTTGCACTCATCACCACCCTCCCCGTACTTATAAGCGGGGGTCTCTTGTGGTCACATGGTACATACAGTCTGTCCATTATAGATGGAGACATGCTAGAATACATAACGTTCGTTATTGTTCAATCCACCACCATACACCTGACATAGTTTACTAAGCTGTAAATTCCAGGGTTTAAACTGAACATATGTCATTGTACATTGCTGGAAGTTCACAGCCACTGTGATGTCACTCTCTGTGATGTCACCTGGACACTCCTCACTCTTCTGTTTTTCATATAGGAGCTGATGAAGCATGCTGCAGTTGTGACCATAACCGCTGTAAATTGCATCATTGTAAACAAAACTGCGCATCACATGTACTAAATGCCATCGCACCACTCATTCTGCACTCGCTCGTCCTATATTGGCTTCTTACTTATTGACATATATGGCATGTATATTATTTTGGCATTTTTAATGTTTTTATTATTGCAATTATTATTTTTTAAATCAGATGCAAGTTTTTCAGCTTGACGGAGACTCCAGAAGACTACACGTTGATGCTGGATGAAGAGGGATTTAAAGGTACACTCAATAACTTCCTTTCACTGATGTACAGTATAGTGTATTCCGATCACATATTGCAGTTCTTTCATCAGCACATAATACTCGAAATACATGTCATAGTTCACCTAAGCCTGTGCCTGTGACATGATATGTAGTGAGGGTAATCCTAGCCATTGGTGATGCAGCTGGCAAAACCTGACAGAAGTTCTAACCCTTCCCCCAACTGGAATTATTGTTTTCAGGGCTGCTATTAGAAATCATGGGGCACCGTACAGTTTACTTGACCTACCCCCCCACCCCCCTATCGATGCGTTTCGGCTAAGCAGATGCCTGCACTGACTTTTAGGACCGATGTACAATATGGTGTAGTGGCAATACACATTACATGCAAATGGCACCACCGTTCAATCCAACAATCGATGTGCGTTGCAATGCTAATATATAGTACATGCGCCATTTTTTGGCAGTGCACTGCATGTTAATACACTGCAATGCACATCTGCTGCAAGGTGCATTTCAGAATGAATGGTAATGCGTTGCCACAACAGCATAGTATAAACAGGCCCTAGACTTCAGTGCAGACATCTTTTTGGATGGCAGGAGGTGACCTCACCAAATCTTAAGCCTGTGTCAGGCTATCAGGGGGTGGGCAGCCATTCAGGGAGGTGTCCACACTACATATCTATAGCCCAAGCTCCTAGGGGCTCTTCAGCATTACTTAGGGGGCCACACTCGCATCCCTCGCCAAGGTGACTCGGCTTTGCTAGTCCCAGCCACTGTGTGCCACTTACTGAGGTGTCGGGCGAGAGGCACATGCGAGATTGGCGCAAGCCGAACAGACAGCTCCCCTGGCCAATGAAAGCCTGTGACTGACTCCTCCATCCGCCTGCAGCATGGCTGATAAATGATAAGCTTGAGGGGCCAGTGAGGTTGGCTGTCACTGTAGAGTCAGGGATAGCCAGTGAGTTAGGTAGACAAGCGGCATACCCTTACATGGATCCTGTGACAGCTGCAGAGGAGGAGCTTTAGATCTACTTCCAAGCTGAACCTGGGCTCCCCCTTGTTGACGTGAATGGGCCAAGTATAGGAGGACCGGCTGTACCACCTTACCGGTGGTCCTGATTGTTTGGGCTGGATTTGGGCTTTAAAAGCTTGCCACACAGTCTGATTTATACCATCTCTGCACTGTCCTCTTTAGATGCATCACGAAATATGCAATGCCAGTGCCTACTCAAGTCTAATTGATTTATATCCTATTACGTATGCACATAGGTCTTGCATATTATTGTATGTATTGTACAATTGGGTTGTCATTTATGCGGTCAACGTTTGCTTCATTCTATATCCAAATAGAGTGTTCCAATGTTATTTGTAATAACTCTTTGTACATGTGTTGTACACATCACTTGTAAAATAACGATTGTGCAGATAATCCAAGCCAGCGGATAGACACTTCTCCCCAAGAAGGGTTTGCCAGGGATGCCCTCAGATGTCTGATCTTTGCCATTCCACCTCTGCGCATAACTGGCCACAATGGCCAACAAACAAGATCATATGGCTGTGAGCATTTCTGCTATGAATGTCACAGCTTCGATGACCCTCTGTAGGTTCCGTCATGCCTGTGGGCTGATGTATAACAAATAGACAAGGGGTGTCTTATCGCTCCTTGTGTGACATTTCAAAGGTGATACTTGTGGGAGAGCAGCATCTGGCTGCTGATTTAGAATGAGCACGTGAACCATACCATGCATGTATACGTTTTATTAGAGGGCATAGGGTAGCAGCGGACAAACTGATGTTTGGTAGTGTAATGTAGGAGACAGCAGGCATTTAGTAAAGAACTGGGCAAAATGGCCTTCCATTGCCAACAGAGGGAAGATTTCGAAAGGTTAGGTACCAGCTGTAATTCATTATTTTGGGTCACATGGGTCTTAGAATTTGTCCAGCGTGAAGTCTTCTTATGACAAAATGTTAATGGGGGCCGCACACTTAGCGACCAATCTGCTTAACTTCATAGGCGTGGGTGCAGCATTCTATAACCAAATTGGCCATGTAAAGGTAATGCGTTGGATGCTGCAGATTGCCAATTTGATTGCACATCCAAATCTTTCTCAAGTTAATAGAAGTTGTACAGTGATCACATATACAGGCAGATGCAACAAGTAGTATTAGATTTCTCCTTCTGCCCTTTTGATGTCTGATCATTTGCTCTGTGCGGTTCTATGTGCACTACTGTGATCTACAGTTTGTGTTTACCATTGAAGTTAATTCAGACAGGGGACACAGAATGTGCTACGGCAGCACATTTCTGCTTCTGCCACACCAGACTATAGTCTGTCGTCCCTAATGCCTGTAAGCAGGGAACATAAAATGTCCTCACACCTTGTCAATAATGCTGTTGAGATGTTTATACACTGAAATGTATTGGAGCTTGGCTGGATCAGATCCCATTGTAACAGAAGTGGAAAGGAAATTATTTCAGGAAGGAAATCAGACGCCCTGTTATGATGCTTGTGGAGAGCTACCTTTTCCTTTTGCTTAGCGAGCTCGTACTTGTACATCTCGCATACAGTATGAGTAAGTATGAGTGAACTAGAGCCGTACCCCAGAGACTGACAATTATAGCTGCCTGCTAATGTTATGACTCATTGTTACTCTGTTAATTATACTCTTAAAGCTTCCATTTTCATATAAATTGTGATGATCCTGCAGACTTCTGCAAAAATCCATCAAGCAATTTGCTTTTGTTATCTAATATTGATAGTAAAATACAATTTGTCTGGCTGTGGTAGGAACACACACCTTATTATACATTTCCACAGATGCATCACAAAAGTTGGACCCATACCATGGCTTCCATACCTTTTAGGAACTACAGTCCAACCTGTACCAGCCAGCGCTCCCAACTTATTCTAGATTTGCCACTGATTGACACATGAAAGGCTTTACGTTTCTCAAATCCTCAGCGGGAATGACGTACAGGCTTTTCACTAAGGCCCATTCTATGATACAGTAACCCACAGCAACCAATTGTCAATGATCTTTCATAGTTTTGACTAGTGACATTGGTTTCTACTACTTACTGCACTTTGCCATAAGGTGCAACTGCAGCTAACAAATAAAATGTGTAGCCAGCGTGCTAATGTTTTTCAGAAAACATTGCATCTGGGCTAAAGTTACACGGTTCTCCTTATTTAACCCCTTCATGACTGAGGCCTTTTTTTCATTTTTTTGCACCCATGTTATATTCCACATTTTAGGCCTGAAAATGACTTAAAACCCCCCAAAATTATATATTGTCTGAATGCCAAGACCCTATAGAATAAAATGGTGGTAGTTGCAAATTTTTATGTTGCGCAATATTAGCGCAACTCCTTATTAAACCCCAACATTTAGTGAAACATTTCATTAAATGCCCCAAAACACAACAAAATACCCATTTTTTAAAATGAAATATAAAAGATGAGGTTACAACGAGTAAAACGATACCAAACATGCCCAGGTTACAAATAGCATGCGTCCGTGAAACGGCGAAAAACTGCAGTACCCAAAAAAGTCCATAGAAGACGCTTTAAAACCCCCCACTGGTCATCAATTTAGAGATGCCCCAAAATACTGGCCCTAGAATTATTGCTCTCACTCCGGCGCTTCTGTTGTAAAGCCGACAGTCGGCTTTACAAGTTTAAACAGAGTCCCGCCGGCTATGTCTGTTTTAAACAGCCCCGATGCTGGCGACGTACACTGTACGTCGTCAGTCATGAAGGGGTTAATCGTAACTACCTTTTGTATAAGGGTTACACGGAGAACTATTAAGGTTACAGGTGTGATGATGGCTTTAGAGTAGGACATCCTGGTGCTGAAAGCTAATGTATCATCTTCTTAGTGGGATTTTTCACAAGTGTTAGTCAAAGGCAGTAAAGTATCTTGACTTTTTCTTACTCCCATCATGGAGAATTGGGTAGCCAGGTGGGGTGAGCTGGAAGGAACCCATGGAAAAGAGTGGAGGATGCCAGTGATGCCTTTTGAATTGAATACTAGATTAACAAAAGCAAAGTTTAAAAAAAATGCATAGATAATTTCCAGATATCTCCTTTATGAATCAAGGGCTATTTTTCTGCCTATGTGTATTCCATAAATGCACTTCTATATGCGGTTTGTAGACCTCATAGTATGTATCACTTGTGGTAAACTTTCCTTGTTTTGCTGTAAAGGTAATCTACACCCTGAAAGTTAGGTTATACACCCTGTTGAGCTTTATTTCTTATTAAACTCTTTTCTTCAGCCATTAACTTGGTTTTGAAATAAATCTCCTGTCCTAAAAGTGACCCTTCCCTTTAAGTTGTAAGGGGGGGGGGGGTATATGAGCTGTAAACTCCTGGTAGTCCAAACAATTGAGCGATCTAGTTAAGTCGAGAATATTTATTAAAGGGTAACGCACAAGCAAATTCTTCAACAATCTCAAACAGTCTGTTTGACAAAATTCAACAGATGTTCATTAAAAATGGTGTATTTTTTATTTTTATGTGCCCTTTCTAGGACATAACTCACTTCTAATAAACAGAGCCCCTCTAACATTGAAATGAATGGCACTGCAGCGTACCTCCTGCAGGAGAATTTGTCAGGCCGAAACCAAAAATTACTTTTTTCCCACTTTTTTTGTATCTTTTTTTTTTTTGTATTGTAACCACATGGCGCCTGAATAGCTTCAGCCAGGGAATGACAGCTGCCAGTGGCAAGATTCTGCAGACGGCAGCTGAATGTAAATACAGCAGGTAGTGGGCTGGTTCAATAGTCAGCCTGCTATTGGCCATTTCAAATTGCAATAGCCGATAGCAGGCTGGGTATTGCACCCGCCCACTGCTTGCTGCGCCCTCCTCCCAACACCGTGGAGGGTAGCACTGCTTTCTTAAAACTGAAGTTATTTTCATGTTATTGCTTCTTTCACAATTCCAAAAATTAAGTGGGTTTATTTATCATTTAAAGCGATCCCAAGAACAACATAGAGATCTATTTTAGAGGTGTTATTGGGTCATGTGACCGTCACCCACCTCAACATAGTGGGCCCCAATGTTGGCAGTCTTAAATTACCTTAAATCTGCTATCAGATCTGCAGTGGCTGCAACCGCTTTAGGTCATGTGACCTGGAACTAGATCATGAACTGCCTATTACAGCAGAGAAGTGAATTCATTCAGATGCTAACACCCCTAGCTACCCACCTCAGGGCCTCCCTAAACTTTAGGTCCACGTTAGGAACAATGGGCAGATCCATGGAAGCCATTCTATTATCATCCCATGGGCCATTGTGCTTCTAGAATTGTTGGTTTATAGCATATGTATAAACCATATAGAAATCTAGAACCAATAACCTGCTTTAGATATAGCCGTTTCAGACTTCTTAACTTTCATCAGTGCTAGAAATCTAGTCTTTTGTAGAGGAGAACCTTGTGATCCAGTAACTAGAAGGTTTTGCTGAGATGTTCCACAAGGATAAAAGGCTGCTACTGAGATACATTGAAGCACATGCAGTGGTTTATTGCGTGTCCATAAGTATTTGAAATATAAGTAGTTTTACTTGCCTACCCTTTCTTTTACAGTCCCGATATATATGTATATTTTTGTTGACATCATTGTTATTGTTCTCCTTATTACTTTTTCTGTGTCTGACAGAGCTTGCAAAGTCCGAATTCCTACATGTGGCGGAGAACACATGGAGAGTCCTGAATGTGCTGTCCAATGGAATACAGACTGGAGGGGTTACAAAGATTGCAAAGTCTGTCATTGCTCCCCTGGCAGAGCATAATGTGTCTGTACTGATGCTCTCCACCTATCAAACGGACTACATTCTGGTAAGATGCCTAATACTGTACAATTGGTCACAGACAAACACCAAAGGTGTATTTAAAAGTAAAAAAACATATGGCTTAGCATTTGGTTTACTAAGTAAATATAAATTTGTGATGGTGATGCATCACCATTCGTCAGTTTAGCATATTCAGCAGAATTGTATATAACTATTGATTGCTTACCTTTTTTATTAAAAAGATTATTTGGTGCATCTAGTGTATGCACGTGACAGGAGCTTACAGTCTGCCCATCGTGCCCATACAGGTGACAGGAGCTTACAGTCTTCCCATCGTGCCCATACAGGTGACAAGAGCTTGCAGTTTGCCCATCGTGCCCATGCAAGTGACAGGAGCTTGCAATCTGCCCATTGTGCCCATGCAGGTGGCAGGAACTTGCAATCTGCCCATCGTGCCCATGCAGGTGACAGGACCTTGCAATCTGCCCATTGTGCCCATGCAGGTGACAGGCGCTTGCAATCTGCCCATTGTGCCCATGCAGGTGACAGGAGCTTGCAATCTGCCCATCGTGCCCATGCAGGTGACAGGAACTTGCAATCTGCCCATCGTGCCCATGCAGGTGACGGGAGGAATTCTGCAAATTTAAAAACTAATTTTAGACATACCTGTCAGGGCACCCTTATATGAAAGTGACGAGACAGATTTGGGCAATGCTTGTAATAGTCTAGGGCTGCAACCAACTAATTGATAATGAGAATAGTTGGCAACTATTCTCATTATCAATTAGTTGGTTGGATCCCCTAGCTCTCTCCTCCATGCTGGGAGGAGGGCACAGCAAACAGTGGGTGGGTGCAATAGCCAGCCTGCTATTGGATATTGCAATCTGAAATGGCCAATAACAGGCAAGCTATTACACCTGCCCACTACCTGCTGTATTTCAATTCAGCTACTGTCTGCGGAATTTTGCCACTGGCAGCCGTCATTCCCTGGCTGAAGCTATTCAAGTGCCATGTGCTTACAATACAATTATTTGTAAAAAATTATAAAAAGGTGGGAAAAGTCATTTTTGGTTTTGGCCTGACAAATTCTGTTGCGGGATGTGCGTTGCAGTGACATTCATTTCAATGGCACTCCAAACGTGCCTCCCACCCACAGTGTGGTCGGCCGCACTGGAACGCACCCTACAGTAATGCCGTGCATTCCAGTTAGGGCTGCAGTTAACTATTATTTTCAAAATCGATTAGTTGGTGGTTTATTAAGTTCGATTAATCGAATTTAAAATAAATAAATGGCTCCAGTGATGGACTACTAGTTTGTATTGCGATTGTAGTCCATCAGGGGAGCAGGCGTAGAGCGGTGGCTACATTATAATACACACAGGGACCATGGGGAACAAAAGTAGCCACCCTCCAGAAGGAAGGACAGTGTCGGCATGAATTTGGGATGATTTGGGGATCTAAAGCTGAGTGATACACAAATAAGATACAGTATTGTTCATAGTTAAGGGACTTGAAACCATTTGTAAGATTTAATTCTTGAGTTTGTCACTTTCATGAACAAACTGAGTGGTACAAACTGCAGGTGCAGAATAAAAAAAACAAAAAAACTTTTTAGTGTACACATTTTTTAAAAGCAGAACAAACGAACAATACACATTGTGAAAAGAGGTGGAGTGTCACTATTCCAGAAACTTTGCATTGGAATGTAAAAACATTAGCATGTCCTCATGCTCAGGGCTAAGGCTGGCTCTCTTTTTACAAGTTATGTTGCCTGCAGCAGAGAAGAGGCGCTCTGATGGTGTGGAGGAGCCAGGGATACACAAGTAGGATTCGCAACTTTTCCCAAAGTAGGATATTCCTCTTGCTTACCCTTCCACAAATTCAAAGGGTTTCCTTCCTTTGCAAGGAGTCTCATTTGGTTTAACTTACTGTGATGCATATGTTTTGCCCTCCTCGGCAAAGCCGACGTGTTTCCTTTGCATGTGCTCATGCATCACTGTGGTGCTTCCATGCCACACAACAGAAATTTTGCAGTCAACAACCTTTCTTTATAGTATTGAGCGTAAAATGCTCATTAAATGCTAAGGTTTTATTTGCCTCTTCCAGCACTCATCTCTCTCCACTTTGGCTTGTTTACTGTCCATCGGTGTCATCATGTATAATGCAGGACTATGGACCCTGCATTAGATGTGATGACATCAGTGGGCCTCCAGCCGCCAGAGTGCAGGAGGAAAAGCCTGTGGCTGCCTGTTTTGAAGCCAGTGAGAACAAAGATCAGGCAATAAAAAATTGGTTTGCTACAGGCCCTAGGGCCTAGGCCTAAACATGTAGTAAACTCTTGCAGTGCTGAGGTGGCCCTATTGCAAGGGGAGGTTTTTTGTTACTCCAGAGATCAGCTTTGTTTTATCTGTTCAGTAAGTGCAAAAAAACCTCTATTGTTACGATAGGACAGCGGTTGATTTCTTTCAACTATCCTGCTTTCTATGTTATGGAATACAAGTTGTCTGGCTGTGATGAGGACCCTCTGGCTGATTGAGTTACTAACTCAAATTCATACGCAGATAACATATTCTGACTTTAATGGTATAAAAAACAACCAAACATACATTGCCCAGCCAAGTGATTCTTTAAAACTGTTTCCCAAATGCTTGCAATCCTCTTGTTTTCAAACAGCTGGCTCCAACTCTCTCAGCACCGCTTCCCTGAACTTTTCAGTCCAGTACAAGATCACAAGGGACAGTCTTCAGCAGCTGTCTAGCTTGGAGAAAAGTCAAGGGATTAGCAGGGTATTGACTTCCTTCTTGTGCCTTTTTGGAGACTCACCACTTACTAGCACACACAAGGGTGGCTTCATAGGACCCTGCAAGGGAAAGGAGCCACCCTAAAACAGGATATCAAGGCCATTGCTCAGGGAACCAGCTGACTCTGCAGGAATCTAAAACGCTAAGAATCAAGGTGTAGCATCCATTGTAAGAGATTTCATCAGCACTTGAAATAGCTTAAAAATCTTTGCACTTCAGTATCAAATGAATCTAACTTTGGTCTATATCCTTATTTCGGGTCTAAGCCTCAAAGTTTTGGAGCCAGTCAGTATAATAGGTAGTCGACTAGCTAGCATTTTTAGAAAATGGGGGATAGAACCCAACCTCAAATTTTAAAATGTGTATGTGGCATTCTATTTTCGCTTTGCCAAAGAGACTTTATTAGCGAGCTGGATCTCTGACACACCTCAAAGTCTACACTGAGTGGCCAGATTATTATGACCACCCCATCAGTACTTTTGTTGGGCCACGAGATGACTCCACGAGATGACTTTGTTGGGCCGCCTCGTGACTCCACGAGATGTTGAAAGGTGATGCGAGGAATCTGATACTGCACTGTTGCCCTTCTGTTGTCTTGTACCAGTCTTGCCACTCTCCGTTCTGCCCTAACATTGACTAGTCGCTGACGGCCACAGTTCGCACATTCAGACCCAGATTTTCGGCTGACAGTACAGTCTTTAAACACTTTAACAACAGCTGCTCTTGAACATTTAACTAATTCTGCTGTTTTGCTGATACTCGCTCCATGGCTCCGAGCACCAACAATCATCCCACGTTCAAAGGCTGTTAAATCGCGTTGTTTCCCCATATCTTCAGAAAAAAAAATCACTTCTACTGTCGTGGTAAACAACCTGCTTCCCTATTTATAATGGTCTGGCCCTCTAGCAACTTCAGTGCAAAATTATAGCTAACTATAGCTAATTTGCCTATAAATGTCAGGTGGTCATAATAATCTGGCCACTCAGTGTATATTCTGAGAGTAAAATAATGGTAAATAAACTTGCCCACCATGATAAATCACACTCCTGAATTCCTGGTCAGTGTCAGATCACAATTCACTGGAACATTTATTCCATTGTTGGTAATTTTGAGGTAACCTCATTTTTTTTATTCCTGTGTTTTAACCCTTTCGCTGCCAAGCCCTCCGGAACATTTTTCAAATCAGCTGGCCAAGCCATTTTTGAATTTTCTGCAATTTTTTCCTATTGATAAGGACCCAGGGCACACATTTTCTTAACCCTTGCAGTGGGGCTACCCACACAATGCAAGAGTTAACTGCTCGTTTGTGTTTTTAGGCAAAAACAAGCAGTTAACCCAACAAGCAGCCCCACTGCAAGGGTTAATATATATATATATAATATTATTATTATTTTTTTTTTTAACTAATTCTGGCTGCTCAAGGACCGTGTGTGTCAGAGAATGTACAGTGCAATCTGACCTCTTCTGGCTGCTCAAGGACCGTGTGTGTCAGAGAATGTACAGTGCAATCTGACCTCTTCTGGCAGCTCAAGGACCGTGTGTGTCAGAGAATGTACAGTGCAATCTGACCTCTTCTGGCTGCTCAAGGACCGTGTATGGGGCTATAGTGTCCATTCCTGGAAGGAGAGGAACATGATCACCAGAACACTAGAAATGGGTTAATGGGACAGCGATATTTGCAGTTCTGATGGAGTTGGCTGCATGTCATTGTCATGTGACCTTTTATATGCCATTCTAATTAAATTGTAGGGTTGTCAGCGCAGCAAATGAAATGACATCTTTGTGTAGCTTCTCTATATTAAAGTCAAACCACAATGCTGTAACTTGGCATTAGACCTAAAGGGACTGTACCTTGTAATTGTTGTTTGGGCACTTAACCAACAACAGGAGTATAAAATCATGCTTGTCTTTCTTTAAGCTTTAATAGCAAGATCCTGTTGTATCATTTTGGTACCAAAGCTTATGTTTTAAAACTGATTTTCAATTTACTGGATGGGTTAAAACAAATCCTTATTGGGATACAGAAGCTGCTATTGCTGAACAGGTATACAGATTCTGAGGTCTGACTTCACTGGCTACATGCTTGTTCCAAGTCAGTAACTCTGAAAGTAATGAGGTCAGAAATATTTTTCAGGAGGAGGTCCGCAGTGGCAGCCTCTGTATTTTTCTCAATATAGGTTTCCTTTTATAACAGAGCTGGACACATAAGAGCTAATACTCCTTACACTGCTAAATCTATTGACTGCTAAATGTGCATTGTGGTTGAAGAGAATGGAGCACCTAAAATTGTCATTGGATTCCTTCCTTTATGGTCAGCCTTGCATACCTATCTACTAGGTGGAACATTTTATTTGTAAAGTGTCTACGTACCTGGAAAACTGAGTGCTGTATTATAGGAAAATGCTGCACCATCTGTCCTTGGTTTCTGCATAGTATGTCCCTTCCTGCTTTCCTTTCCTCTTATTGTTCTGTTATAGTTTTCTGTGAATTGGAAGGGGGATAGCAGAAAGTGGCAAACTACACAGACAAGTGACCTGATAATTTTTCCCTGTAATACAACGCCTGGCAAGGCTATGAACCTTCTATTATTAAACTCTGATGAAGGGGGCGTGCCCCAGAAACGCGTAAACCATTTATCAATACAGGGATCAAGGTTACTGGTGTTTTACATCGCTCCAGATTCTCCCTGCCAGGGGTTCCGTCCTCTCACAAGTACAGCCATTAGAGCTGCATGTTTTTACTATTAAATAACATTTTTACACTATGGAGGCGCTCTCTTTTGTTCCTTTTCTCACAGACTGGTGGTCCATCTAATCTGTGGGAGCTGCCTCCATCGTGTTTGCTGTATTTTTACTGCTGGGCTCTTTTTGGATTTGAAGGCGCCGGTATTGTTGTGCAATTTCTCTATTGGGTGCATCCAATCGTCTCACAGAAATTTTCCAAAGGGTACTTTCATACTCTGTACCATGAGTTGCACATAAACCCCATGAAGCTTCTTGGTTATGCCCACATGTGTGTCAACTTTTAATTCCTTACTGGAGATCATTAGACCCTGTTTGATGCAACCCATAGACCAAGGAGACTTACTTCCTTTTGAGTCTTTCCTCTAGCACCTAGTAAATGCTTTCTTGGTACATCTCAACAATGCTGAAAAATACTATAGGCACGTTTAAGGCTAATTTCCATGAAATGTAGATGGTTGACAAGCGGCACTACCAGCCAAACGTGACATGCAGGATCAACTTTGACGCACTTCAACACGAAGCGATGCATGCTCTACATGAGGAGCTTTCAAACCAAGCACTGCTGGGAACACTATTACATCAATAGACGTGGACCATGCAAAATTAAGCAGCATGACCAGCGTTCCCATTGCTGTTTTCAGGGCAATGTGGGGAATGGCAGGAGAACCTAGCATTGTCCTGGTTATTTGATATCAGATGAGGCCCTTTGTGTTAAATTCCAAAATCCAGTGTACCCATCGCACTCCTGACCGAATAATACCCTTAGAATCGGGTGGGGGCCAAAGTGACTGCAGATGCCTCTGTGATCCAAGATATCCAAGAAGTGTATGTATAAAGTCACTTGCACTCCAATAGAATTTCAAGTCTAAAACGGTTTATTGACTAGATTTGCTATGACATCATATAGCGATTATGAAACCGTTTTAGACTTGAAATCCTATTGGAGTGCCAGTGACTTTATACGTACACTTATATTTGTGTTTAAAGAGCGCCACTATCTACGCTGTGTATTTAAAATGGCCAAGGTATTGTTATGTAGGTATGTATGCAGTCATGTCACACAGCAAAATGAATGACCATAACTAATCGAGTCCTGGAAGAATGCAAGCATTTTGTTCTTGGTAAAATATCATCTGTAGCTTAAATCAATACACATTGAGTTATTACTGTTTGCCTGAAAGTACATGATGTTCATATGTATATTTGCTTTCTGTTTTATTCTGTAATGCCTTTAATTCCTATACAGAGCTATAATTGCTCCCTCTAGTGGTAATTGGTGTGGCTGAGAATATGAGTAGCATTCAATGCTTAACCCCTTCATGACTGAGCTAGTTTTCAGGTTCTGTTCATAAATGACTGACACATTTTTTACATTTTTGCTGTGTGATTCTTCCACAGCAGTAATATACTTTCTTACTAAATGTACCCACACATATTATATATAGTTTTTTAGAGGACAGATAGGGCTATATAATTATATCACATATGTGTACCTAACCCCTCACTTAGTTTGAATAAAATAAAAAAAATGAGGAAAAAAACTAGAAGAAAACACTTTTTTCACAAGTTTTGATTATTATTTTTTTTTTTAGAATTTTTTTATATTAATTATAGTATAAAAAATATATTTATATATAATTTATATTTTCCTAATTTTGTTTTACACTTTATTTTAATTTTTTTACACTTTGTAAAAAAAATAAAAATAAAATAAAAAAACTTTTTTTTTTCTTGTCAGTTTATATCAAGCAATCACTATGACAGCTTGATAAATTAACTTTTTTATTTTATTTTTGGCTATTAGGCTGATCCAAACTTAGGAACAGCTAATAATAACCTTAGAGACTGATCCTGACTTTAGTCAGATTCAGATCTCACTAAAAGCTCTTTGATCGTGCCTAGACGATCAGAAATGATACATTTCACTCAAAAGATACATTGTATCCTTTCAGTGAAATGTATCTAAACATCGGGCTCTCGAGCTGTCAAAACAAATAGCAGAGAGGTGAGGTGAGTCACTGCTGCCTCTCTGCTATTTTGAGCTGTCAAATTGCGGTCCTCTATTTGCATGTAACGGCTTCATTCTTTCATTACTGAAAGGAAGAAGCTTTTACAAAAAGCTTAATTATTTCATTAATTAATGCCTCAATACTGAGACATTAATGAATGACTGTTAAATGCTGAGAATCAGCAAATACCGGCATTACAAAGCCTGATATAACTCGTCACGTACAGTGTACATGGCCAGTCATATAGGCACAAAGTGACAAGACGTACACTGTACGTCTCCCGTCACGAAGGGGTTAAAGGAGAACTATGAGGTGTAATTTTCACTCAACCTCATAGTTCGAGCCAACCTGTGACAATGAAACTGTCACACGTCGGCTCAATAGATCGGGAAGTGAGCGAACACATACCGTCGCTCGCTCACTTCTCGATCCTGTCCCTGCAGAGAGCCTTGACTGTCACTCACGGCTCCCTGCAGGGATTCCCCCTTCTCCGATCCTCCAGCACTGACTGGCAGAACGGACGGGGCGGGTACAGCTGGCTCTGCCTCTAGATAGGCAGAGGCAGCTGTCAATCACGCAGCTGGGTGGATCTCGACAGTAATGTCGGGATCTGTCCCGGCTGCGGCGGTCTCAGTATATATCGCGAGCTGTTGGGTCACGGGAGGACGCTACTTTGTGTCCTCCCGTGACCCTTAGGAGAACTATGGGGAAAAGCACTGACCCCATAGTTCTCCTTTTAATGAATAAGCATACTTGTAAAAAGTATTAAAGAAAACTTATGCTAGAGAAATGACTGACAGCTCCTGATAATGCTAGCTGCCTGGCTGCCACTGCTCTCACAGACCTAGAACAGATTGTAGTCCAAGGAAAGTAGGATCTTCTGATCTGTATATTAGTCCCCCAACCTGTTCAACACCACACCTTAAGATGCCATTCAGATCATCTCCCCATTTCAAGTATGATGGATTTCAAGTAGTCAAGGATGTTGTTGCCGAGGCCTTAACGAATGTGTTTGTGCTATCTCTATAAGAAGCATGCTGATCTGTTTATCATAGATTTCCTAACACTTTTCAATGTACTTGTGTTAACTTTTTAATGCTTTGTGTATTGCTGTCTTCATATAGCAAGCTTTGCTATTAGGGCTGCACATGCCACAGCCCTTATCCTAAGTCATAGCTAGATATGTGTATACTAGAAATAGGAATAATGGCACCTCTATTGCTCTGCTCCTGCGCAATCTGTACTGTCAGCCAGCAGAACGTAGTGGAGGAGTGGATGAACACATGGTTTGTGGGGATTTCAGGTACCAGTGTGCTGCTCTCCCATTTCAAAGTTGGTAAAGCATTAACAAGTTCCATGTATTAATTTTTTTTCTTATTTGAAGGTTTACCCAGCGTTTGTCTAGATGATGATCATGTCTACTTGTGTCTATTGTGCAGGTGCGTGAAGATGACTTGCCTGTGGTGTTCCAAACACTTCTAGGTGAATTAAACATCTACAAGGAAGAAAATGGAGACCTGGTCCCAATTCTGAGTGAAGAAAGCAACGGTGTGAAGACTAAGAACTGTAAGTCAGTCAGCAGATCTGTCTCTGACAGAAGAATACAGGAAGTAAAATATAGTTTTAGTTTCCCCCCCCTTCGTTCCAGGTTTAAATAGAGATGTGCAAGTCAAAGTCATGAAATAGACTGTCAAGTAGTAAACATGATTATAGGTAATAGTTTGTGTGCATTTGAGTGTAAAATTCTACTTTGAGACGGTAAAGCAAGTTTTACATTTCGCCCCGGAATACTCTACTTCCTGCTGGGCACCATGCTGATACTTTTATGTGTGGGGGTCAGCTTAAGTCTGTACATTTTAAGCTGGCCTCACTTTAAATCCTGTCTGTACTTTGTGTGCATGCGCAGTGAATTAAGAGTTTGGAAAATGGTGATGACCAGTGCTTCCATGTGAGATCTAACAATCAAGTCGTGACTGCATGCAAGGTTATGGCACCATGCTGCCTTATGTCCTTACCGTAATGGCTGCTGAGCATGCACACGTCTTCCTGCAGATCTGCCTTTTTGTTGGAGACTGAAGCAGATACAGAAGCCTAACCTTCTGACCCAGCGTGCCAGAGCAGGGACCGACACGTTTCGTGGTAGACATTTCTAATGGGGGGGGGTATGGGCTGTACAGGCTATTGTGTATTTCTGCTCATTATAAGTTACCATAGCATTAAGGCTACTTGTGAGTCTACCAGGTAAAGAAATGAAGGTAATTACTTTTGCCATCATTTAGGTGGTATAAGATGTTGTCAGAAGAATTTATTCGCTGACTGCCATGCTGGCGACTGCTGGACAACATGGATAGTAAAAATAGGCTTTTCAAGATTATCATTTTCACAGTGCCCTATTTAGCATGCACTTCTTTACTCTCTGCTACTCCACTGATGCACACTTCTTCTCCCTCCACCACCGCACCTACATGCACTTCACCCTGTGCCACTGCGCCGATGGGCACTTTATCCTCTGCCATGGCAGTGCTGCACACTTCACTCACTACATTAATGCGCACTCTTTAACTCTCCACTTTTGCACCGACACACACTTGTTTATTCTCTGCCTTTTCACTGGCACACACTCCTTTACATGCACTTCTTAACGCTCCACCATTACATTGATGTGCACTTTTTTTTTTTTTTTTCTTTCTGTCACTGCAATACTGCCCTTTATCCCTTTTGCTCCTGCACCGATTCAAACTTCATTCTCCACCATTGCACTGATGCAAACTTTTTCATTTTTTGCCACTGCATCAACACTTTTGCTCTTTTAGGACTCCAAGAGTACAAAAATCCTGTTGTTGCAAGGGCAGTCTATTGTATCTATTTCCAATCAGGTAGTGCACTCTAGTTGTTTGCAATCTTATAGCACAACCTACTTTAGATTTACTACTTGTCTGTCCAGCTTTGAGTATGGTAACAAAGCTTTAGCATTCCTGTAACTCCTATCTTAAGGTCAGAAAAGAAAGAAGTACTCCTAGAAGGCTAGAATTGATCAGTACTGCACCAAAAATATTTTAGTTTTCTTGCAGGGCTTACTTTAATTCCAACTCCAGCCAAAACTTTTTTTCCTTTCATTTCAGACAGTTTGGGAAGGAATACAACTTCTGTTTTAATCATATTGTTTGTGCCCTCTTGGGAGATTTGCCTTTGCTTCCAGTTGAACCAGAAAATAATGTAAAATCTCTCCAGTGGGGATACAAACTGCAACAGACTATTTTTCATCCGCCTGTCCCAGTGACTGTTTCCTGTGTTGCTGTCACAGGGGGCAGGAAGTGAAATCAAATCTCCCCAATTGCATCACAGAGAGCAAACAAAAGTTAACTGCTAGGGATGCACTGATACTAGTATCGGTGCCGATATCGAGTATTTGGGCGAGTACTCCTACTGTACATGCTGTTTGGCCGGCTTCCCAGCCAATCAGCACGGAGCCGGCTTCCCGGGCAATGACGCAACGCCTGGCTTCCTGATTGCCCGGGAAGTACCTGATGCTGAAAAACCGGTATCGGTGCATCCCTAGTATTTCCTCTACGTACGTTTATCCAAAACTATAATAAAACAGTACTTGAATAGATTAATTTCTTATCACTTTGTGTTCAATGACATTAGTAAATAAAAGTCACTGTTATTTGGGACACTTCACCTGCCTGGGCTGCACTGCAGTTACTCACACACAAGAGGGCAGTATACCAGCATCTTTCAGTCTTAAACACGGTGTTCTTGGCATATGCATAGCAGTGTTTACATATGTGCAGCTGGTGCACATTACTTTTTCCTGAAATTTCTGGTGCTAATGTTTCACTTAGCTCCACAGAAGGTTGCTTTCGTAATATCTGTGAAACTCAATATACTCCTGGCCTTCATCAGGACACAATATGGCTAATTTAGTACAACATGTGCATAAAGGGATGAGGCTTTATTGTGAGCTGTGAGGATTTTCCTAGCTCTGCTGTTAATGACCTGCTCTTTTTATTTTCTAGTGTGTGATCTTACTGTTCATCCTGTGCAAAGTCCAGGAAGCAGGTTCTGTGTCCTCACCCTGGATCGTGACACCCTGCCATCGATCTCTACCATTCTCTTAGATGTCCTCTTCTACTCTCATATGTGAGTGAATAGTGACACTTTTATGCCTTTTCAAATCGGGAAGCAGTAATCCTAATATGATGTATAAAGTATATGTGATTACAATATACTTGTGAAGAAATGTTATCTTTGTGGCATTACACTGTTTAAGATTTAGACTAACATTTTTATACTGTTGTATATCTCTTATAGCAGCAACACCATGACAATTGTCAGCTATAGGCGTAGTGGTTAGTGCTTCTGCCTTGCAGCACTTGTGGTCCCTGGTTCGAATGCCGGCCAGGTCACTATCTGCAAGGAGTTTGCATGTTCTCCCTGTGCTTGCGTGGGTTTCCTCCGGGTTCTTCTGTTTTCCTTCAACACTCCAAGAGACCTACTCCTGTCTAAATCGGCCCTGTATGTATGCATGTGAGATAGGGACCTTAGATTGTGAGCTCCTTGAGGGCAGGGACTAATGTGAATGTGCACTATGTAAAACACTGCGTAAATTGTCGGCGCTATATAAATACCTGTAAATATAAAGTGCTCAAACGCAGAGTGTTCTATATATGCAATTTTTTTTTTTTTTTTTAAACAATATTTTAATCTTATCTTGCAAATATTAATGAGCTGACATATACAGTCTTTTGATTGAATGTTAATCATCAATTTGTAAGAGTTGGAAATCTCTTGATCTTCCAGTTAAATTGTTTGCGTGTCATATACTGTAAGGATTGCACAAATCCCAGGAGCCAGGGCAATTCTCCTTTAAAACTTTTTATAAAACTTGTGAGGTATTTTAGCTGTTGTCAGAGGAGCAAGCTTCTTAAAAAAAAAATCCTGCTGGATGGCTAACATGGTTCAGTACTCTATTACAGATAAAACACTTCAAACAATATAGGGATGCAACCAATTAATCGATAATGGTTGTAAACTATTCTCATTATTGATTAATTGGTTGAATCCCCTAGCTCCGGTCCTCCAGCTGTGGTGAAATTACAAATCCCATGATGCATCTCTCTCCGCGACTCATGTCTGTGGCTGTGAGAATCTTGCAATGCCTCATGGGATTTGTAGTTCCACCACAGCTGGAGGGCTGGAGTTTGGCTACCCCTGCCCTAGCTCTCTCCATGCTGGGAGGAGGGCACAGCAAGCAGTGGGGGGGGGGTGCAATAGCCAGTCTGCTATTGGCTATTGCGCCAGCCCACTACGTGCTGTATTTACATTCAGCTGCCATCTGCAGAATCTTGCCACTGGCAGCTGTCATTTCCTGGCTGAAGCCGTGTGCTTGCAATACAATTATTTAAAAAAAAAAAAAAAACAATTATAAAAGGTGGGAAAAATTTATTTTCAGGTTCGACCTGATAAATTCTGCTGCTGGAGGTGCATTGCAGTGCCATTCATTTCAATGGGACCTCAAACGCGCCTCCCACCCACAGGGAGATCGCCTGCACTGGAACATGTGTTATAGCGAAGTTCCAGTGCAGTGTGATTTCAAAAAATTGTGCATGCAGTTTTATTCTGAAGTAAACTTTCTTTGTAACATCATTTGTGTATTTTATTTGAAATTTAAGGGTGCTATTTATTTAAAAAAAAACCAATTATACGATTTGTTTAATCGAAAAAATAATCAGTCAACTAATCGATTATAAAAATAATAATTAGTTGCAGCCCTAAAAGAACCTAATTTTGCCTTCAGGAGTCATCCTAAATGCAGATGTTTAGAACTGATTTATTTTCAGCTAAAATTAAATGACCGCATAAAAATGTAAATATTATTCAAAATGATATATAGTACCTCTATCTCTGTCATAAAATAAAAGCACAAGACTTGGCTGTTAACAGAGAACAGTTTGTGTATTTCAACATGTCAATTAGCAGCTTTTACTTTGTACTTATCTGTCCTTTTTTGATTTATTTCTCCTGTTTTTATGTGGACAGGCATGGTTTACATATGTGGCCAGCTTTCATTTTGCAGCTGATACCCTGTTATGTATGGAAGGAAACCCTATTGAAAGGTGCTGAACATGGCAGGAAGTCATTGGGCCTTATTAGATTAGAAGTGCGAATACGCGGTGCATTTCTTGTATAGGTCCTGGTGCTTTTCATTACCTTTTCACAGATGTGTCATTTCATTTCCAGATCTCGGCATGGCTCACCTGTAACTTCAAATGACACAGAGTCATTTCATTTCTTTGCCTTCTCCTTGATAGACGGATATATATCCATTGTTATGGATGCAGAGACAAAGAAGAAGTATGTATGAATTGCTGCATGATTTAAGTGTTCTGTTATAGATAAATTAATACAAATATTGTAACGTAGAATGTTATTTTCATTAGTAGTGAATTTTAGTGTATTATCATGTACATGTCGCTGTTCATCATTGATATATGTAATGTATTACCCATACTTCAAAAAGCGAGCATGCACACTTGTAACATCAAGCTTTAAGCAGGTGGCAGCTGCTTATTACCCCCTGCTAATTACCTTTTTCCATAGTGGCCCTTTTGCTGGGAGAGCAATGCTACTGCAGGCAGAATTCTGTTTGCAGGATACACTGTGCTGGATCTCTGGTTTTTCAGAGCAGCAACCTATGGCATGTGAGCCTGGATGGGCACACAATGTCCTCCTTTTTTCTTTTTTTTGTAGCACCAGAAGTCCCAGAGATATAGGCTGTAATTGACAACCCACTAAGGTCACTGGTCCCTCCTGTCAGTACCAGCGTATGTCCACCAGTGCCAGTTGAAGTCTGTGTGGTGTACATTATTAAGCCCACACACCCACCTGCCTACCCTCTTCCACCCTCCTTCCTCCTCTTGGTGGTACCACCATCTGCAGGTATGCATGTAAAACCCCTGATTATCTGGGTGTGTGTGTATTGTCCATACAAATATTACATATCATGGGATTTCATAATTTGTGTGATGTCCAGGAAGTTTTTCTAGTTGCAGCATGTCTGTTATTTATAGCTAATTGTCATTTCTAAATCTGACAGATAAAAGTATTGCTTAAATTGTAGTGAAGTTTCAGGAAGTTTGCTGCGTGCATAATGTGTGTATCCAAGCCTACGAGAAAAGGTCAGAAGGTTAGAAAGCCCTCGATCTTACGAAGAGCTAGGTTGAGAGGATGTAAGTAACATTTCTGACGTCGGTATGTTTGGCAACTTCCCTCAGGTTCCCTACTGACCTACTTTTAACAAGTTCCTCTGGAGAGCTATGGCGAATGGTGAGAATCGGTGGGCAGCCTTTGGGTTTTGGTGAGTTTTTTTTGTTTTCACTAGGGATGCACAGATACTTTTCGAGTACCACTGCAGATACTTGGCATTTTCATAAGAACTACCAGGGTTGCAGCGGATGCAGCTGGGACCTGGCTCTGGCGCTCCACCACTGTCCTGAAATCATTAGTCTGTATTGTTTTAGAAAAACTGTCACATGACAATAAACAAAAATGTATCAGTACTCGTACTTGTAAGTACTCGGCAAGTACCAGTACTCATACTCGCAAAACTGGTATCTGTGCATCACTTTATTTATATTTATAAAAACAAAATCGTACATTAAAACAGAGATGTACAAATCCCGGGAGCTCCGTGTGCTCCTTACAAATGACAGCGGCCTCCTAATTTTTTTAATTCTTCTCTAGTGTAGTCTTGGAGCTCAAAAGTATCGGTACATGTACTCGTACTTGTACCGAGTACTGTACTTGGTATCTGTGCAACCCTACTTTTCACCACCTTTTACTGTAACACACATGTACACACGGGATTGCGTGCAAAATATTTATATTGTCAGGGTGAAACTCAAAGATCTTGTTTGCGTAAACCAAAATGAAAACGAAATAATTCCATGTACATAACGTCAGCCATTCTGCAAATCTATTTGCTTCATTAAAGCCCATCTCCAGGCCAACCAAAAAGTTAACCTTGCAGTAGGGATACCCTTGCACTGCAAGGGTTAACTGTGTGTTTTTGTCTGCGGACTGCAGTAAAAAAAAATTTGGCTCACCTGATCCCGCTCCCAGTTGCTCCCTCCGGGCTGCTAGATCGGTCCCCTCAGGCTCTTCTCCCCTTCCCTCCGGCAGGCTACAGACTGCTGACCTAATTGGGGCTATGGAACCTGTATTGGACATTAGAATGCTGAGGGACAGTACACCAGCATTAAGGAAGAGAGAGGTGAGTGCCTCTATGGCTGCTAGGGGAGGAGGAATCGGATAAGTAAATATTCCTTACTTTAGTCCTCCAGACAAAAAGGAGCGCTTAACCCTTGCAGTGCAGGGGTAGTTTTTGGTTTGCCTGGCAATGGGTTTTAATTTTAAACCATGGGTCGTATTTTAAAGTGGTGCCCCAGAGGTATCATCTTTTTTTGTTTTGCATAGGGATGGAATATCTGTTAAGCATTTATTGCTGTCTGTGTCCAATTAGGAAGATTTCCTCTCCTGCGTCATCTTGTGAACAGAAACTCTCCAAAAAAATAAGTGTTAAGAAGGGGTTAACACTGCTGTCAGATTTTTTTTTTTTTTTTAACTGTCCCCCTGTTTAGGAGATTTTTCTTCACTTTTTATGTGTGGTGATCTTAACAGGAAGTGAAGGGTAATCTTATTTGGGTCAAGAAAACACTCAAAAAAATCTACAGTTTCAATCTCCCACTATATCCAACGCTAAAATAACAAACAAAAAAAGGCATTTTGGCTGGAGAACTCCACTTAAGACCGAATAATCCGTAAAATTGGGCTGTGCATACTTTTTTATGATGGGTCTCTTTCTCTCACTTGGGGTGACTTGGGTCAATGACAGGCTTTTTGGAGCCGTTACAAGGAAACCTTTTCAAGGATATTATTTAACCGAAAGAAGCAAGTAGCTATTCTGTAGATTTTTTTTCAAATACATTTATTTATCATGTGTAGACACCTGTAGAATTTTGTACCTCCACCTTCTTTTTTCAGTAAATATTACTATTTAAGGTGCTTCTAAAGTACTCTGTTATTGCCCAGGATCTCTTAAAATGTGTGTAAATAAAAAAAAATAACAAATAAAATATATATATATATATTAGGGATGCACCGATACCACTTTTTTTAAGTACGAGTACCGATACTTTATTCCGAGTACTCGCCGATACCAATTACCGATACTTTTTCTTAAAGGGACAGATCCTTGTGAAGTGAGAATATTAATTTACATTGCAGCTATACTCTAGCAACGCGCAACTGTGCACACTCCTAGTTCTGAGGTTACACTGTCATTGATATCCACAGGTCTTGGGCTAATGTTTGGGAACCAGTCAGTGTGGTTACTTAGCATATGATCGCTGGAAGTTTATTTACAAACTTCTCCAGCCTCCAGATGTTACTGTACCTCTCTCTGTGCACAGAAAGATGCATAGTATGGGTTGAAGTCAATCTATTATACAGTATTAGTGTTACAAAGTGTAAAACAGTTTGTTCAAAGATGTGGTGTAAAAAATCCAAAAATTCATTTTTACATAATTTTTCATTTTTTTCTTTTTTTAGTTCCACCAAAGTCCAGCATCATAAACTAGAATATATTCAGCTTTATAATTGTTGCTCTACATTAATAGATGGTAAAACAAATGTGTATTCATGTGGAATTCATCTGAATATCATTAATACTATTTATAAAATGTGACTATATATAGATTATAGACCATAATTAGGTCTTATGTTCCCTGGGTCTGGCTTTTGCATTTGAGCCATCAATTTCCTTTTGACATCCTGAAGTCCTGAGTTTACAAGAACGCTGTTCTCAATCTAGAAAGTGAGACTTTGTTACCTACTTAAACAAACGTTATCTTGTTTTCCCTGCAGATGAATGTGGAATAGTGGCACAGATAGCCGAGCCTTTAGCTGCTGCAGACATATCCGCTTACTATATCAGCACCTTTAATTTTGACCATGCCTTGGTAAGTGGGTTTTGTGGAGTTTGATGTTGTAGAATCTAGAGACATGACTAAAGAGCATGATGCTTTCTTGCATCTGCCATGCTGCAGTGTAATCCCAGAGCCTGATTTGTAAAGCAAGAAGATAAATGTGTAAGATTCTTATAGCAGTTTTTGGGGCTGGTTAGAAAATGAAAAAGGGGATTTGAATGATAACTGCAGGTAAGACTGACAGCTTCCTTATCTTGCTTTTTTGCCGATCAACCCCATGCATTGGAAGAAAACCTGCTACAATGTACACACTTGTGGGCTTCTTTTAATGTTGATCTGTTGGAGCTCATTATTCCAGCGGTGTTCAGTGTACAGTTACTGGAAACTGCTTATGCATAAGCTATACTTCTGAACCGTTTTATTGTGTGTTCACTGAAACCATAGGGCTTTGGCTGCTGTATGGTACATTAGATCATTGCACTAGTATGAATGGAGTATGCCATGTGCTACAACACCATTCCCAATTTACTAATACATGCATAGAAACTGGCACAGACACAACCCGTGCACAGCTTATAGGTTTGGGTTCCTGTTGGTTAACCTCAGTGACGGCCCATGTCTATAGCATAGGGTTATGAATACATCTCGCCACAGGGGAGTTTTTTTGTGAAAGGTTTCTGAATCAAAATGATACAAGTGTTTCGTTTTCCAGTTCAATAATATCAAAAAGCCCAGCTTTTTGAAACAGGTCTACATGACATTAGCTTTTTTTGTTTTAAGGGGGTTTCCCACAAAACTGAATTTTTATGCCTAAGGTTTGCTATACATGAGTGACCCAGTTTTTCCCCTTGTCAGTGGCATTTCCCTGATGCTACCTGGTTTGTTGGGAGAGTAGTTTATTGAGGAGTGTGTTCTAGTATAGGAAGTAGCCTTTTCTCTGTGTATTTCTTTATCATTTTGGAAATTTAGGGACTTTGTTCATTAACATTTATTTTGTTTTTTATTAAAATTTTACATCTCGCGTAAGAACATTTATTTATACGTGTCAAAGTTTACCTATACCCAACATTTCGTTTTGGCTAGAATGGGGAAAGGTTGGAACCCCTGCTGCTATCTGGCTCTCAATCTTTACCAGACGTGAGGGAAAATCTGCAACAGGAAAATAGACAACAATAAAAAGCTGACAGAGGCTCTAGCATTCCCCTACCTAATTTAAAAGCATTTTACTGCCCTCTGTAGTGCTGGTATTTCCTGTCCTAGGAACAGCCTTTTTACCAGACAGGAAGTAAAAGAATCTCGCCAATGGAGCCTATATTATCTTAATTGTGTATTGGAGAAGTTAAAGTGGACCTTTACCCCTTTTCACTAAAAATCACAGCAGCATGCAACTCTGCATGCTGATTTAAAATAATTTTACATTCATTAAACAAACAGGTTTTTAATTTACTTACAAATAGAGATCTACTTCCTGGTCCAATTGTGGCAAAATGATGTAAGTGCCAAAGTGTTGCATCTTGGGAAGGTTACATCAGCAGAGCATTGCTGGGAAATCTCGTCTGCATTCATGAGATCTCAGGGAAAGGCATTTTCCTCCCCTGAGATGATGGGCATGGTCACATGTGCCAGAGTTCCAGGAAGTAAAAAGGAGATCTAGTAATCTGCCCTTAGTTAACATGGCCACTGCCAGAAGACTGGGAAAAAAAGAGAAATAAGGTATGCAAAGAACAAAAAGCTGGCAATTATCTAGAAGTAGATTGTCATTACTAAATTTCTAAACTACATTTCTAAAGGTGTGTTTGTTGTTATTTTAAAGATATGGGTAAAGGTCCGCTTTAAAGGAGAACTATGGGGTAAGTGTTTTTCCCCATAGTTCTCCTAAGGGTCACGGGAGGACATAAACTAGCGTCCTCCCGTGACACAGAGCTCAGTATTCCGCGGTATTCTGAGACTGCCGCAGCCGGGACGGATCCTGACATTACTGTCGAGATCCACCCAGCTGCGTGATTGACAGCTGGCTCTGCCTATCTAGAGGCAGAGCCAGCTGTACCCTCCCCCATTCATTCCTCCAGTCAGCACTGGAGGATGGGGGTGGGGGGGATCCCGGGTGAGTGACAGTTACGGCTCTCTGCAGGGACAGGATCGAGAAGTGAGCGAGCGACGCGTGACAGTTTTATTGTCGCACGTCGGCTTTTTTAGGGATATCATTTTAATAGTGACAGGGATCATAAATACATGGGCAACAAACAGGCAATTGTTACAATATAGTGTACACTTTCTTTGGGCCCATGCTGCTGATTGAACAAAAAAAACTAGCATCTCACTGATGAAGTCATCTCTGTGCTCTCCCCTTCCGTAAGCATGTGTACAGGTCTAAACTGGCCTTGTAGTGCAGAGTTGTGGAGCCTGGTTGGAGGACATTATTCGCCCTCCCTCTCAGTTGAAGTGCTGTTGTTGGGGGAGAGGGGGTGCAGATAGTTTATATAAAGGGTAACTCGGAGTACCTGAACTAGCTATATTTGATGCCATGTTTTTACATTTGACATGTTAATAGAAGCAAATTCTGTTTTTTATGCTCACAACCATCTATGAAGTACCAAACAATATGTATGCCATTTTTGTGGCACTATTACTTCAGATTAGCAGTTCACATGTAGTTCATTTTTTTTTTTTCTTCAATTGCCTAGCTTATATGTTGTTACTTCCTGTTTGTAATGTTTTGCCCTTCTCTTTCTATAAACAGGTTCCAGAAGATGACATTAACTGCGTAATTGAGTTGCTAAACCAGCGTCAGGAAAATAATAGCTAAGTCAGTCTCTGCCTCTAAGTTCCTCCAAGAGAGGAGGAAGTTGGGCCACAGACTGCACACGCTTTAGGGCTGGGTTTGACGTATTGCCGAGCCAGACGTCTGACAAAGAAGATAGCTTTTTCTTAATTGGATCTATTTAAGGTGCTACGTTCACTCACTCCAGTGCCAGCTGACAAAATGTTTACTGAACACAATAAGCTGTGTTCTGATATCGGTATAGTCATTACGGGTTCAAGAACGGGCAGATCGTTCTCTGTTGTTGTATTTACGCACTTTGACAGTTTAGTTTTCCATCTATACATTGTATTTTTTGCCCCATGTTTCTTTTAAAATTGAATAGTAATCAATATCTGAAGGTAAACTTTGTTTGGATAGACGTTCAGTACGGCAATCATTTTGTAAAATGCTTCAAAAATGTTTGCATATCACATTCAAACATAGCAGTGTGGTATCTCATGATGTGTTCACTGCTGTCTACAGTTGTGTTTACAGTGCCTCAGTGCAGTGAATTTCTAAGACTTACTCAAAAGGAGTTGCCTGCAATGTCTTGGCTGGATTGTGATGCCAGAATGAAACTACCCAATGGCCATGATGATGACTGGGCTCTAATGATGTAGCACAAACAGTGCTAAGGAGTAACTCATGACGATTACATTTCAGCAGTTTGCACTGGCTAGCCTTAATGAACGCCAGTTTTTGATTGGTTGCAGTGTGTATGTGCTCTGTTGTGGACTGTTATAAGTCCAAACTGTTTCCATTTTCTTGTGCCATATTAAATTTGAGTAAAGCTATAATAAGTTTGAAACCCGCAACACTGATTGTTGTCTAGTGATGCCTCTCCGAAGGGAATATTTATTTCAGATATTTTAAAAGTAATACAAAACGAATTTTGGGTAAAATGAGACCCTTTCTTTATCCCAAACTAGGTCTTTTAAGTCAGAATGGCTGTTTTTGCTTTTGTTCAGTAGCTGCCTAATGTGGAAAAGAAATCCAGCATTACTTTTGCTTCATATTGACATTGGATTGCACTTGTTGGCAAATGACTTAGCCAGTACCCTCTTTCTGTTGTATGCCCAGAAGCGGTCACAGTTAATTGTTTGGGATGTTATTTGCAGACACCCAAGGCATTTCTCCTATTATGACTGAAAAAGTATTTTCGTTGGTAGTTTAGTTGTCCAACCTGGTCAATAGCCTTATTCTTCCTAATTTGATAGACTGTCTTCAACAGTCTATAACGCAAACAAGTGGTCTGATCCTATGAAAATTCAAGGTAACAGACATCTTATGTCTGTGTACATTTACAGCGAGTCTCTTCCATTCACTTCCACTCTGCAACTAATAGTCAACTCCTTTTATGTTACAGTATGTAAAATATTGCTAATATAGCATATATATATGTGAGTACACTAATATTTATGATGTGTAAAATAGATTTCTGTAAGAATGCTGGAGCAACAGAAATGCTTATCAGCACTGTGTGTAACATGGCTCTTATAGTTTCTCCACCAAGAACTTATTTTTGCTGTTATTTTACTCAGGAGGCCAAACATTGTTCTTCCAGCTTCATCATTATTCTACATAGACACAAATGCTTAACCACTTGATTGTTGCACCAGGCTCCCTTCAGTACTCCACACTACAAAAATTGGAGGCACTTGGTCACATGATCTCTGAAGTGGAGGACCAGCCAGGAATCTTCCCTTCAGCAGAGCTCACCTGACCAAGTGCCTATGCCTTAAGAAAAGCACTTTGGAGAACTTGGCAGCATTGTCTCCAGGTATGGGGATGTATTTCAACACTTGTAGTACTCTTTGATTCATTCTAGCAAGACTGTTAACATAGATGCATGCTAGATTTTCAATAGCACTAGCTATTAACCCTCCAAGGTTTCTGTTTGCGATTTCAGTACAAATGAAAATACCTCAGTTGATTACATAATGATGTCAAGTGATGTCACCATGCTCATTATCAGATCTGTTTTGTACAGTATCACTCAAGTGCCTTATGACGAATGGAAAACCACAGCCAAAACTCTAGCAGCTCGCTCGCTTTCAGTGGATTTGCCTCCTTTATTACATTTTAGCATTGAAGTTGCCTTCGTGTTTAACACAACTGTAAGATTGTTGAGTTGTTCTTGTGACAGTATTATATATGAAGAATATTTGAACGCATTTTAGGTTGCATTTTGACTGTATGTTGGCCAATAAAAATGCTTTGAAAAAAACCTTCTCGTTGTGTCATTGGTTTTGTGCCTGATTCATATGTTTAAATAACAACTAGCCTTATCTAAATATGACCTGTCATCCACTTAGCAATTCTGGTAACAGTAACTGTAAAATCTGTTGACATCAGATGTGGTTTTGACATAACTGATTTTTCGATTTGATTTAATCAGTTGTTCATGAAGTTAATTTAATGCGTATTTTCTTAGACAAACCAGAGTTTTTTATGACTAAAAATAAGTCATGTGTGCAAACATCAGATATGACGTTTCACTGCAACATTTCCAAGCTTAAGGTCCCTGATAGGGTGAAAAGTAAGGCAACCTGGAGTATTTTGATGTTAAAAAAAAATAGTAGGGTAGGGTTTTTCTCATCGAATAATGCCAAACATTTGGAGTTTAGGGATGCCCTTTTTTTTACTAACTTAAATGATCAAAGATACAGGCTTTTGGGACCCCTTGGGTCTCTTCTTTGGGCTTTATACATCTTTGCGCTATGGGATGTACAGGCCCTAGCATGCTATGACAGTGCATTAGATCAGATGGGTCTGTTCAGGATATTATGGGAATTGTCTATCCTTGAAGCAGAACTATTGCTCCTTCGAATCAAGATGTACATTTTTCAGTGTGGATTACTTGTACGAAATTGTTGTTCTGAAGTTGGAAGGAGGCCCGTAACATGCTGGCAAGTTTCTTTCTTCTACCTTAGGAGCTTCTTAGGAACACCCCAAAATATGCTGAAACCATGAACAGGGCTGGCCTGCATCTCTTACCCTTACTGGAATGGGTAAAAATTATGATTTTAAGTATTTTGCAACATTTACAGTGCTTTGCCACATTTTTGAGGCCTTGGGACTTTTCAACATTTTGTAAAATTTGATTGAGATTGTAAGGAGCTGATGTACACCAAACAGCAACAATGTTTAAGAGGAAACATTACTTTTGTTTTTAAATTTTATTTATGCATGTCCTCTATCAAATTCTGGGACTTCCAGAAACAGGTAAATTATTTGTAAACGTGACAAGAAACTTCAGTGATCCACAGCTGCACTGAAAGAAACTGTCTACGGAACAACTATTACCGGGATGTTGTACAAAGCGGGAAAGTTTGGCGAGAAACTCTGGGAGGCACATCACGTACTGTATGTAGAAAAAGGTTCTTGAGCCTGATGAGACCAAAATTAAACTTTGAACGGAGTCCAAAATGGTATGTTGTGCAGAGGCAACACTGCTAATCAACTTGGGAATACCATCTCCACAGGGGGTGGTCATTGCATGATGCTACAATAGTTTTTATTGTTATTGGCAGAAATTGGGCTAGATAGATTGATGGAACCAAAGACAGGGCAATAATGGAGGAAAACCCGTTTCTATGTGCAAGAAACTTGGGACTGGGGTGAAGGTTCATCTACCAGCAAGGTGGTAACCTTAAAGCCAAATGCTGTTATTTTATATATATATATAATATGACACCTCCCTGAGGTCCCTTCCCCTTGCACCTTTGTTCCAAGGGTCTTCAGGCCGGTCTAATGATGTCATGGAACTTTCCTCTTTTTTTTTTTCCCTGGCTGCCATGGATTGTCTTTAAAGCACTAAATGCTGCTCATGTAATGATGTGAGTGCTATTTAGTGCAGTAGTACAGCGAGTCCAGCCATGGTGAATCTTCCCCCGATGTGTCCATGACAAAAGTGTGCCACCTAATCAGCAGTGATGTCATTGACCTTATATGGCAGTGGTCTAAAAGCACTGTCCCGCAGCCAGCTCACAAGTCAGGTACGCGGTCACGGACCGTGTACCAGACTTGTTTGAGCAGCTACACGGTCTGCATCTCTGTCGGATGAAGACCGCATAGTTGCTTCTGTGCCGGAACTCGGTCTGCATCTCTGTCGGATGCAGACCGCATAGTTGCTTCTGTGCCGGAACGCGAAAGGATTGATTAGTAAGGTCTGCAGCAGACCTTACTAATCAACCACTAGATCACCAGGGATCGATCATGCCTCCTCACAGCCACCTCCCTGCAAAAAGGTAAGCGGGAGAGGGTGCTCTGTATTTTACTTTACATGTTATGTGGGGGGTACTGGGAATTATATTATTTTAAATGTGTGTGTGTGGGGGGGACACTGGGATTTTATATATATATAAAATGCCTAATCTGGCGTTTACAAGTGGCAGCTGTCACCCATTCAAGTTAATGATCAGGTGACAGAAGTTGCATGTAGCAAAACAAATGGCAAACGCATTCATCAATTCGTTACCAGCTTTACAGCAAGGTGCGCACGGAAGGGCTTCAAACAGCAAAAGGTTTCCAGGCACACTCACCAGCCAGCATGCAAAAAAACCTGTCTAACCACTAATGTTAAAAGCAAAGGTTTAGATACACGTTTTCTGCAGAAAATGTGAAAGCCGCACAGCCACGGCACCTCCATATAGTGCGGTCCTAACTCTAAACTATGAGAGTCTCCATCTTGGAGCACATGGGGCAAAAGACCCGTGTGTGTACTTGTGCCTTTAAGGGAGGTCGGGCTTTCTCCTGACAAACCTACACCCAATTTTCTCTTTTGCCACATGTGCTCCAAGATGGAGACTCTCAGTTAGGACCGCACTATAAGAGGTGGCTGTGCGGCTTTCACATTTTCTGCAGAAGACGTGTATCTAAACCTCTGCTTTTAACGTTAGTGGTTAGACAGGTTTTTTTTGCATGCTGGCTGGTGAGTGTGCTGGGAAACTTTTTACTGTTTGAAGCCCTTCCGTGTGCACCACCTTGCCGGTAACGAATTGATGAGTGCGTTGCCATTTG